CCAAATGTTGTTTTATAACCTGGCACTAGGAAACACCATCAAGCACAGAACCCAAACCTAACACCTGCTGCATATATTTTATAAGGCAGGAGTTGATTGCCTCTACAGAGGGTTTGGGAATAAAACACATTTAATAGTCACAGAGGGGATTTAATATTAGTTTTATGTATTTTTTACTTCAAAGTCCAGGGCCGCACAGCTTGTATGTGCTGCTTGCCACTGTTCTCTTTTTTCCCCTATGTAAATCATTCGGCTCCTTGAGACATAATGCCAGATTCTGCTCTCCTTTACTCCAGTGTAAATGCAGAATCACTCTTTTGAAACTACTGAAGATATCCCAGATTTACAATGGTGTGGCTAAGCACAGAATTTGTCTCTTACTGGCTCAAATTCATCCCTGATGTAATGCTACTGAAAGCCAAAGAAGCTATAGTCAGACTGCATCTGGCCCAACTTCTGAGTGACCCTAGCATTCTCTTCAAGCTGTAAACAATGTGGGTGAGGGGAAATAGTGGCTAAAAAACACAAAACTAATAAGACTTCTGTAGCTGTGCTGGGCCATTGGGTTTACACTCACTCACAATAGCTGAAGATCTGGCCCAAATTAGGCAGTTACAAATAGCAAAAATACATATGCTTTGCAATATCAGCCTTCTAAACCTGTAATAGGGAGCAACAAACTGCAGCCAGCATTCATTACTTAGCTCCCTCATTGGAATTCCATGATAATAACCCGCCTCCCCGACAGAGAAAGTCTTTTCTGGGCAGCTGTGGGGTTCGTTTTGTTCTTTGTTTAACCAAACCAGCTAAAAGCTCTTAAAGGCGTGGATTTATACACAATAGGCCTGGGAGGCACTGAAGCATGGGGAGGAGGCGGATCACCAGGTGTCTATGAATGAGCTAAGGAGCAACCAGTTTCTCCCTCTCTATCGTTCCTCTGCCCTGGTTTCAGAATATGACACGCAGCAACACAATGAGTCAGTATTAGCCCAGGCACAGCTGCAGAAGGTCAGGCGCTGCCCTTTTGTATGGGGCGTCTTTAATTTAGGCTCCTCAGGGACTCATCTTTCAACCTATTAGCATGCTGACACTATGGCTATCCAGGGGAAATGACGTCAATTGGCGAGCGGACAGTCGTCTGAGAAAAGCAGCTCTTCTTTTAACTTTTTACACCACGCCCTCCAGCAGGCCATTCAGGTAGCCTGTCCCCCTGTGATTGTCTTTTAAAGAGCACATAAAAAGCCACACATGAACCCAGCTCCCTCAAGAGAGAAAAATGGCTTTCAGAGGAACATGTTGCATGTTAATATCGAGGAGCGGGGAGAGTGATAAAGACTGAATGTGTGTTTACATCTACCGGCTGTATTGTACATAGAGATAGCATTATCGTCACGTCACTCTGTGCTCAGGCCCATAGAGTGTTATGGTTTTTTAAAATTTGCTCTGACAATCCACAGCACTGCCTTTTTGTCTGGACTAGTATTTTCCACCTACTTATATTGACATGGCCTGTGCTTTTAACTGCAATCTGGTTTGGTAGTGAACATTAGATTGCCTAGCCAGTGCCTGACAATAAGGTCAGTGCCTTGTGGCAGCCTCTACCTTTGGAAAATAAACAAGTGGCTTTAATGGTCTATTGAAGGGAGTCTCCATTCAGTGCTTCTCAGCTGGAAAGGTGACCCTAGGTGACATTGTTGGCAGCTGGAGCTGTGGGACTGAGCCCGTTGGAAAATCAGCCCATCATGTTTGGTTGTTGAATGTTTGCTCTGAGGGGTTACAGGCTGCTGGCATATTTTTTTTTTAATAAAAAGTAGCACCCGCCACTTATTTTTTGGTAAAGCAATCCCAGCTCAGATGCTGTCACTTTGTATGTGTAGTGGTAACGTGTCGTCATGGGACGCCGCATTGCAAGAACACATTGCAGCACGTCACAGTCCAGCAACCACAGCATCTGCAGCTGCTGTGTTAGAAACGCTAATCCCCAAAGCTGCACCTTTGCTTCCAAAGGCCCCTTTGAGCCTTGCCTTTTGTGCTGAAAACGTCCATTCACATGCATGTTGTTGTCCTAGTGGCTCCGAGGTCTCCTGCTGCATTTCTAAACGGCACGTCACTTCAGGCTTCTTACACTTCATTTCAGATGCTCTCCTGTATGTGGGCAAACAAAGCAGCCAATCAGCTCTCGCTTTACTGAGCAGAGGAATGGTGGTCAGGACACAGGGAGCTGTCCTTTATACTTTCCAGGGATTCTTCAATCTGGTCAACCACCAGTGATGGGCAGAAAGTCCTTTGATTTTACACGTTGCTGGAAGCGGAGAATGTTTACCAATGCAGTGGTTAAGGGTAACTCACTATATAATGTCAACATAGGCCACAATGAATGCCAGTTCTGGTGTCCAATGTAAACCTATTGCCAAATTGCCATCAACTGAGCCCTAATGATACTTAACAATCAGTTAAAACAGAAGTTTCAGGTGACATGCGATAGCTGAGTGACATGTCACATCAGAGGCACTAACTCTCTGGGTAAACCAGGGCTAAAGCACTCACAAAAAGAATAGAGGGTACTCGGTACCCATGGGGCCAGATTAATCTTTAGTGGGCTCTGGCACCTGGACTGTAGTCCCACCTTGCCCAGGCTTTACTCCAAAGTCCTGACCCTCCTTGGCCTCTGCCCCCAAAATCCCACCCACTGTTCCACGCAGCGATTCCATCCCACTCGGCCTCTCCCTCACCAAAGCCACAACCCCGCTCAGCCTCTTCTCCCCAAGACCCCGCTGCCTTCTGTCCTAAGGCCTCGCACCGCTCAGCCTCTTCCCCCTGTGGCTCCATCCACCACTCACATGGGGCAGAGAGGGCAGAGAGGAGCACCCACTGGCAAAAACAAAAGACTTCACCGGTGTGTTAGGGTACGTCTACACTACAAAGTTAATTAGAAATAACTGCTGTTATTTCGGATTAACTTTAATAGCGTCTATACAGGCAAACAGCTATTTTGAAATAAATTTGAAATAGTGGAGCCGTTATTTCGAATTTGGTAAACCTCATTCTATGAGGAATAACACCAAATTCGAAATAGCTATTTCGAATTAAGTGCTGTGTAGATACTTAATTCGAAATAGGGGGCCTCCAGCCCTTCCCAGGGAACCCTGGTGGCCACTCTGGGCACAACCAGGAAAGCTTACTCTCCTCTTCCCCAACCCCGGAGCCATTAATGGGGCCACTGGGTTTTGGGGCCCTGACCCAGTGGCCCCAAAACATGAGCCAGCAAGCCACTGGCAGCCAGCCCTCCACCGCTCCCCAGGAGCAGTCTGCCAGGTCCCAGGAGCCTGCCAGGGGCCGGAGAAGGCAGGAGCCTTCCTGGTGCAGGGTAGAGATCATGGACCTTATTCAGGTTTGGGGGGGATGCCCCCAACATCCATGATCTCGGCACTAGACAGGTGCCAGCCTGGCCACCAAAGGCCACATGCAAATCCAGGAGCAGCTTAGCATGAAAGTCAGGTTGGTCTGATGAGACCCTGAGCTTCCCCTCCCACTTCTTTCCCTTGCTTCCCCCTTCCAGCTCTCTCCTCCCAGGTTTCCCCCTCCCCTCTTCCACCGTCTCTCTTCCCCTCTCCCACCTCCTTTTCCAGTCTCCCCAGAGGTTAATCCCCCGCCCCCAGTTTTGTTAAATAAAGAGAGTTTCTATACAAAAAGTTCTGTTGAATTGAAAAAATCAAAATGTTTTGCTTTGAAAATGTCAACATTAAATGGTGCATTTTAAAAAAGGTTTATTAACAACTGAAACAATTCAGTGAAATCAACACATCTTCGCCAAATGTGTTGTGTCTTATCAAATCTCAAAAAGGTGGCACAGTCCTTTAGGGCCTCCTGGATCCTGACAGCCCCTCAATGGACCCCCCCCTGATGCCCTGCTGGTACTGGTTCCGGCCAGCCTTAACTTCGGTTCAGGGTCCACTCAGTGTGGACGTGCTATTTCAAAATAGCAAAATGCTATTTTGAAATAGTTTTTGTGTATAGTTGCGTTATTTCAAATTAACTTAATACAAATTAACCATTTCGAATTAAGTTAATTCGAAATAGCACTGTAGTGTAGACATACCCTTAGAGAATACACTTGAATGGATTGCTGAAGATTTAAAAGTTGTTAAAAGTTTCAGGACTTTTGCCTGGATTCTGAGCCCACTTACGCTGTTTTTCTCCTGGTGAAATTCCATGATCTGATTCATTGTAATGAATTTTATACTGTCTAGGGAGCAGCCATTTTGGTTTGACTAAGGTGCTCTTAGCACAAGAGCAAGGGGAACAAAGGCTGCTCTAAATTGTGCTAGAAATGTTGATCATGAATCTTTCCAGGTTCTGTTACTGTACCAAGTGAAGTGACTCAGAATGCCCCTCAATGATGACCAGAACAGTGCCTTTGATTTTTCAAGGCTGTCTGAAAGCACAGCTTCTTCCAGTGACTCAGAATATTCAAGGCAGTTTTATTGCCTACCATAAGGGGATTCTGCTCCATGAGTAGGGTTCTTTGGAGGCGACCATAGTAATAATTTGGGTATTTTTATCTCCTTTCTTGACTCTAATAGCTTTTTCTTTGAGCTCAACAGGCTTGAGTCTTCTCTCACTTATACCATTATAACTCAATTGGCTTCAGCAGAGCTACTCCTCATTTACACCAGTGTCAGTGACATAAGAATCAAGGTGGATTCTTTAAAATGCTGAAAAGGATTAAAAAGTGTTGCCGTAAAAAGGTCCTGTATGTTTGTATTTTGAATTATATACTTTATACACAGATACTCATCCACTTGGTGGTGCTACAGCAAGGAACATTTCTGTTTCCAAGTGTGAAGAATATGCAGAAACCAAACCAAACTGGGTAACACTGTGGCAGTGAACAAATTTATACCATTCTCATTCCTACGCCTTATACAGCCTTCTCCGTGGGAGGGTTAAAGACTTAAAATCCATCTGATTTTTTCCCTTGCACATTTGCTTAATTTATAACCTCTGCTAAATAGTATCCCATATAACAAATAATACCTAACTCTTATCTGGTGTTTTTCATCCATAGATCTCCAAGTACTTTACAACAGAGGGCAGTATCGTTGTATCATTTTATGAATGATGAAAATGAGATAAAGGGAAAGTAAGTGACTTGCTATTCCATTTATGCATTTGCAATAGATGTGGGGAGAATACTGGAGCAAAAAGTGTCCCAGCCACAAGCATTTATTTGCATTTAAAAATGTATTTCTTTCATACCTCCTTTTGTGTTTGCTTTCCACAAACATTGAAGTCAGCCCCTTTTCCTTGCTAGTGGACAATTAATTCTCAGCTTACATACTCAGGTATTCACATTAGAAGTGGGAGCTAGGCACCTAACTATGCAAAATCCCAGACACATTTTATTTGGGATGGGATGGTGGGCACTTAACATGCTGGGGAGGGAGTGGGGTGCAGGGAGGGAGTTTCCAAAGCACAACCCTTACATCCAAGCCTTGGCACAGAGGCAGTTCAGGTCCTGATTCAGCAGAGCACTTAAGCCTTGGATCTAGGTGTGAAGGTGGAAAGGGGTGCTGCATATCCTTCATCTTCTTCCTGGAACAGGTTGGTTGGAGGGAATGAGCAAACCAGCCAGTGGACCTGAGGCAGCATGGTGTGTGTGTGTGTGTGTGTGTGTGTCGGGTGGCAGTTAGTAATTTGCAGGTGCCTTGTGACACAGTTTAGCCTATTCTGAAAAGGCTAACTGGTGTTGTGTGTGTGTAGGCCTACAGTCACTTTAAGCTGACAAAGAGACCAGTCCTGCAGACTTCCTCTTCACAGAACTCCCCCTGAAGTCAGGATATGCAGGATTAAAATGAGAAGGAATTTGCCTTATTCTGCCCTGAAACCAGTCAGAAAGAAAAACAGCTTATAGATCATATCACTCTTCTTATTAGCAATGAATACTTTTTTTTCAAAAACAGAACTCTGGACTCATTAGTGTCTAAACTGTAAATCTATCTAATTACGGTAACACAATTAGTGTCTACTAAGCATACCGGAGAACTTTATTTTTGTGTAATTCTCGTGAGGCAGGATAAACTATTCCAGTTCTGTAACAATGAGACAAGCCAAATTTTAACACGGTTTATTTAGATTCTGGCCCAGATTCTCTGCTTTACTGGATTTACACAGGCATAATTCCTTGATTTGCTGCCAGTACAGGTAAGAGACACCGAGGGGCTGTTCTTATATGGACCAGCTGGCAACAGATACTCTTTAAAATGTCCATCAGTTAAACATAGCTGAAACACAGCATGCTCTGATCACTTCACATTGTCCCTGGCATATATCATCCCATTCCTGATACTCTCTTGGCTTGACCACTTCAGAGATGGGGGTTTCTGAGCCAGTTGACAATGGGGATTCATCCAGTGTCCACTCCCATTGTACCACATTAGCGGCACACAGAAAAAAGCAGAGACCAATCTCACTGCATTTACCCAGTCAATGATATGCAATTGTTATGCATAATGACTCTTTGATCCTTTTTGTCATTTAGTCAAATTGGCATTGATTAAAGAGTTAACTCAGCTAAGCAAAATGCATAAAGGATGACATTTGAGAATGATTTGAATGGAAGATTGCATTTGGTTTGTGTGCATCAATACATAAACAGATTAATTTACCATTTAATTTGTTTTCCAGCTCACGGCCTGAGATTTTTAAGAAATGTGTGCACTCTCTCTTCGGGATTTCACTGTTTCTTTCACTCTGTCTCATTGGTACATACCGCAAAGCCATAATATCCTATTTGCCTCTCTGTGATCACTTCCCATAAAATGATTATGTTGCTATTAACAGATTTTATGACTTTATTTTATTTACAAGTTGTAGGCAGCCACAGTTTTTAAAGCCGGAAATGGCTACAGGCAGATGGAAAGTAAATGGAATTAAGCTAAATAAAGCAGGCAGCTTCAGCTCTGATGGATCATGAATGTATTTTCTAATTTAGCTTTGTTTTGACCTTGACACACTAATTTTCAGAGATGTAATCAGGCAGACAAAATTACAGCTATGTGAAGAAGCCATGATACACATTGTGTTAAATTCCAAGTAGCTAAGGTCCCTCGTATCTTTAGAAAGAATTTGGGCTGGGAAGAGGTTGATAGAAGATTTTATGGGGCTGCACTGTTGCCTTACATAGCCTCTAATAAAAGGTGGCACTTGGCTAGATTAATGCACAAGCATTTCAGGGAAGAGATTGCGATTCAGGAGGCCACAGGTCCCTCCCTGCTTGTTGGGGGGAATTAATTTGCAGTCGACCACCCTGCTATGTGTGTGTGAAGAGGAAGAGAGAGAATTGGCCAAGGCTCCACTTCTTCCCCACCTGCACACTCCATAAAAGGAGTAAGCAGGTGTGTAATGTCCCTTACTCATAAGAGTCCAGTGTCCAGGTGGCTCATATCAAAGTGTTGGGGCGGTGGAGGAGGGGTTGTTTATATTACCACATAATTCTAGAGAATGTTGGATTTTCTCCTCACAGTGGTCATTACAACCTATGTTTTACATGGCTACTTTTTCAGTATTCAAGCAAAACATGCTGTTTGTCTCAAACAGTCCAAAACATGCTGGGTGGTTGATTGACTAGAGCAGGGGTTGGGAGCATGTTTTGGGTTGGGAGCTGCTGGCCCAGGGAAAAATCAGTTGGGGGCCATACAAAAGTGAGAAACAAAAAAATAAATAAAATAAAAACTCCACCACACCTCACTGATGGGGCAGAAGCAGAAAGATCTCCCAGATTTCTCTAAGCTCTGGGATTCAGTGTGTGGGAGAGGGACTGCCGGGAAGCAGGCTTGGGGAGTAGGGTCTGGGCAGGAGGGAGGGCGCAGGAGTGGGTTGAGGGATGTGGTATCTGTGAGGATGATAGGGTGCAGGCTAGGAGTGGGAGTTTGGGCAAGAGGGGTGCAGGAGCCACTTCCTCCCCCTGCCCATGGGTTGGATCCAGACCTGGCTTGCCTGACTGTGGTCTGTGAGGCTCGGGTCTTCTTCCCTTCTCTGCCACAGCAGTGTGCTGGCACTCCAGCCCTGTGGAGGGGACTGTTGGGGTTTGTGCAAGGCTGGAACACCAGTACCAGCTCCCTGATGCTGGAGGGGAGACCCCTAGCTTTGAGATCCAGATCCAGACAAGCCGAGGATCACATCCAGCCCCCAGGCCCCACCCCTAGAGTAAGCCACTAGATCCACTAGGAAATCCAAGTTAGGCTAGTTATCAGGGCCAGCCTTAGGGAAAATGGCACCCTGAGTGAACTTTCCTTGCTGTCCTTTAAGTGCTGCTCCCTAAGCAGCAGGTAACAGGTTCCCATGTTGCAGACCCATTTATCCATTCTCTCTGCCTCCTGGGTGGGCATGGCCTTTCTGTGGTCTCTTGACCGTAGTGCACCACTCCCAACAATGGCAAACTCAGCAGTTGACCATGTCACCCACCAGGTAGGCCAGCCCTGCTTTGTGTCTAAAATCTATTATTTATGAAGAGAATTTTAGGGCTAGATTCTGTGCTCATATCCATATCCATATCCATATCCATATCCATATCCATATCCATATATTTAAAAAGATGTAATAGGCTACAAATATGCCTTTCTATACCAAAGTAGCTCCTTTTTCTAGACCTACAGCTGCATTTTAAAAGAAAATCGGTTATAGATATCATTGCGGGAGCCATTGATTATAGATATAATTGCAGTGCAAGAATGGGACAACCAGCCAAAATCCACATGCAAATCAATCTTTCCAAAATGAAGTGTGAGTAAAGTTTACACTTTATTTTCTTCACCACAGGAATCAGTGCAAAGAATAGGTGCAACATAAATGAATCTGGTCATTAGACTTGTCTGGGTTACACCTAATGGATGTGACATTATGATTAGATCAGGCTGATCAGGAAATCTCAGATTCCTAGTGGGATTATCTGCTTCATCTCATTTATGAGTCACCAGGATGCATGGGTCAAAATGACAAAAATCCACTCTTCCTCATTATAGTCCCATACGAAAGACTTTGCTAACTTTATGCTAAGAGTCTTAATCTACACATCTCACTTTAACAAAGCAGAAAGAGCAAGGAAATAAGCAATTACGCCATTGGACACCTCAGCTGCACTCCATTTCCCCTTCTGAATTCAACTACCTCCCTTTCACAACCCACAGGCTATATATCATCACCCTTATCTGGAACAACCAACAGGCACCCTTGAACTGTACTTGGTTTTACTTGTTATAGATTACAGGGTTGGTAAGGTTTCCATTAGTCTCAGCATTTTATTGTTAGTAGGCAAGGTAGAGCATCAGATTTTAAATGCTGGCTGCAAGATACATTTCTCTGTATTGTGTGGGAAAAATCTTGCACACAGGTGATCTACATTATTAATGATTATTCTAAATGAGGTACTCAAATCTAGGAAGAATGTAAAGGCTTGAAATCTGTCATGCACTAGGCAGAGTGTAAGAAATGACAAACGGATTGTATTGGTGTAATATATTGATGGTTGAACGTAAGGCAGCCTGTTGTTCAGGATAAGGGTAGGGGCTGGGTGTGATGGAAGGGAGGTAATTGAGGATGGGAAAGGGAAGTGATGAGTGGAGTGTGAATGGGGTGTTGAATGACCTAACTGCTTATTTCCTTGCTTTGTACATTGTATATTGATGGAACGTTGCAGTCTAGCAACCTTAACTCACGGCTAATGGTGATGAAAGATGCAATGTTGGTTTTCTGTTACAACCTGCTGATATGTATGACTTTTTACATTGTGGATTAATGCTCCTTTGGATTGTTTCATGCTTTGCACTGTAGATCTTATTTCCACCATAAAATAATATTTAAATAAAGTAATAATCCCTTGTGTCATCCTAGAGATTCATGGGCACTGAAAGCACAGTTAAACTGAGAGGAATGGGAGAAAGTGGCACTCCCATTGACTTCAGCTGGAATTGGGTATACTCATCACTCCCGAAAATCAGGTTCAGTGTGTCTTCATATTGCACCTAAAAACAGATGCACCTCAATTAGAGTACACATTTGAAAGTTGGGGCAGGCCTTAACCACTGTATGCCTTAGTTTTCCCATCTATAAAATAGGGTTAATAATCTCTACATCACAGGGCTATTGTGAAGCTAAATTCTTGAATGACTGAAAAGTGCTCAGATACTATGCTGACAAAGACTATAAATAAGTACATATTGAAGCATAGGGGCTTCCAAATCCATCTGAGGACTGGCCTCTCACATGCAGAATCTGTGACCACAATAACAAAAATCGTAAAAAACAATTACTTCTCAGAATCAATGGTAATGCATTTGTATTTAAACCCCTCATTTCAACCTGATGGGGTAGGCCGAAACTAGGCCTTTCAACTAGGCTCTGTCTCCTATGAGCACCCGTACATGGTACACCCCTATGGAATCCACAGCCTAAATAGCCAAGAGACTTGCTTGCTTCTGGCATCCTCTTCCCATATTCACTCTTCCTCGGCATCAGTGATCTTACCCTGCCCATAAATGTCTTTCACCAGGCATTTACCATTTCACTGAAATATTACTTTATGGGTGAAATAAGGTAAATAGTACAAATCCAACATGTTCCACTTGAGACATAATAACTGAAAGGAGCACAGTGCAAGGGGCCAGGGTTAGGCAGTCTTGTCTAGCAGTCACAGCAGGGCTGGTGTCCACAAATCACAGACAGGCAGAAAGCTACAGTCAACAAGCAGGGTTCAGAATGATAGCTGGGCTCAGCAGCTAAGAGCCAATGTCAGGCGGAGGTTGCAAAGTGGCAATCAGACACCAAGATGAGTTGTGGCATCACAGCAAACCAGATATTTGCATGGCTACCAGTCAGCTTTCAAGGACACCCACCATGGTTAAATAGTGAGCCTGCGTCAATCAGAAGGTCACGGGGTGCTAGTGCTTTGGTTCCTTTGGGTGGTCAATCCTGTGGCATCTCAGCTCTACAGAGCTCCTAGGCTATAACAATACACAGACAGCAGATGGTGGTGTGGGAATAGGTTCTGTCTCAGGCTCTAGAGAGCTGGGGTCTAAATCCATGGTATCAAAGACTACACACACACACACACACAGATATTTACATTACATCCTTCAGCCTGAATCTCCTTGTGTCTCATCATTTTTATGAGAAACTAAAGGATTTACCTGGCATTGCTTGGGTACTTAACTGAAATAAGTTTTGTTTCTTTTCATGTAAATCATTGGCCTGAGGAGGGGTGGGGATGAGGGATTCACTATGCAGGCTGCCCTTGGGGACAGAGGAAAGCCCCAGTCCTTTGTCACCGCAGCAGCTTGGGACCAGTGAGAAGCGCATCTCCATGCCTGCTGCAGCTCCAGCAGGCACAGCTGGGGGAGGAGTGCATATTCCCTGGCTGGGGGACAGACAGACACACAGACGGACTCACAAACAGACAAACTCTCTCAAATATATAGTAGTTAATTGCCCCTATCTTCATCCCTGCCCCCTAATGAGGTTATAGTGTCCTGGTCCCCATCTCTGGCCCTTTGCTGTCCCCCTGTGGTCATTATACAGTAGAATTGTCTCTGCTAACAGACCCTTCCTTTTCTGTTTTATGAGAAGCAGTCACATTTCAGGCACATCCCATTGTCCTGGCATAACCAAAACCCCTACCTTGCTTTAAGCTATGAGAAGAGGAAGCTGCATACAAAATTTGATGGTCCTAGCTCTTACCATTTACGAGGCATTATTGAACAAACTAGCAGACAGAAACACAAACGCTCTCAAATATATAGTAGATTTATATAAAGAACATAAGTGGCAGGATAGGCTGCAGATTACACACAGTACTCTGCAGCAGGAGACAGATGACAGCAATTTCTGTTTCTAAGAGATATTCTCTGTTACTTACTATTCCTGTTTTGATTTCATCCTATCAAAAGTCCTCCTATTAGAATGTGTTTAAATGGAGGATGGTGTATTGCTAAGCTTCCCTATTAAGAATCTTCACATGTTTGCATATATGCAACTCTTTAGGGGCTCGGTCCTGCTTGGTCTAGCCTGACCCAGCAAAAACAATGTTGTAACATTTTAGTTTAATCCAGTTTATTTGTCTAAATGTAGAAGTAAGCGACTAAGGTTTAGCAGCCTGTTACATGCAGAAAGTCAGATTGGATAAAGTAGTGGTCCATTCTGGTGTTAAACTTTATGACTCATAAGCATGTGCATAACTTTGAGCATATGAATAGTTCTTATTCACTTTTAATTAGATGGGCTGCGTCTTGACTGGCATGATTTTGCAGGAATACTTTTAACGGAAAAGTTTTTCCGTTAAAAGTATTTCCGCAAAAGTGCGTCTAGATTGGCGCAAAAGCATCCGTGGCCAGTCTAGACGCGATTTTGCACAAGAAAGCCCCAATTGCCATTTTAGACATCGGGGCTTTTTTGCGCAAAACAGTTATTTCCTGTCTACACTGGCCCTCTTGAGCAAGTATTCTTGAGCAAGAGGGCTTTTTCCCAAGCAGGAGCGTGAAAGTATTTGTGCAAGAAGCACTGATTTTGTACATTACAAAGTAAGTGCTCTTGCGCAAATTCAAGTGGTCAGTGTAGACAGCTGGCAAATTTTTGCGCAAAAACAGCTGCTTTTGCGCAAAATCTTGCCAGTCTACACGCACCCATGGTGAACTGTTTTTCCAGATCAGGACCATGGTGCTCAGCATCTTGCAGGATTGAGCCATAGAAGACCAGCCCATCAGTTTTAGTATAAACACATGCTTGTCTAATATTGTATTGTAACCATGAGTTCCCTTAATAATAATACCTACTGCTTCAGAAACATTAACTGTAACTGTGGCCAGACAAGTGATTATGAACGAATTGCACCTACTTACTTAACAGGTCTGCAAGGTACATACAATTGGAAAACAGTTGGTGTTGAAAAGAAGTATGTGTAGGAAACTGCTTTGAGTTCTGAGGTTTATTTCCCCCCACTGAAATACAAGCAGAATTAAACATAACAGTCTATGAATCTGATGTATAATTCTACCCACGTGCTCTGTTTTTATGCGAGGATTTTAAAAGTAGATAGAAAGTGATTAGGCCAACATTTTCAAACTTGAGTGTCTACAGCCAGGCACTAAAATAAGTGGAATGATTTTCAGAGGTACTGAGCATCCATAACTATCACTGATAGGTCTTTGTATCAGTAGTGTCCTTTGGCCATTCTGGAAGGATAAGTTAACATGCTGAATGGTAGAACAGGTGTAATATGCTCATTGTGCAAGATCTCCATATTTTAAAAATTCCAATACTTTCATTTTTATTAATATGCATTTCCTTATGTTGCTCTGTCAGTTTGGATCTTGTCTGAACTGTGTCTTCTTGTAAGCACCTGGGTCAAATAGAAGACTTCAGACCTACAGTATTGATGCAGAACATGGCTGCCTGCCTTCTCTATGCTTTATGCTTAGGCTGCCCTGAGTATATCAGGCCCATGTCTAAGTCCTTTCGCTTTGTCCCAGTTGGCTTCCAATGCTAGTGTAATGTTCAAAGGAAGTGATGGGCCACTTCCCAGAGGCATCAAAGACTGATTTCAATTCATGAACCCTTGTGACAGCTAGGCGCCTCAGGATGAGATGTGTGAAACTTGGGCAGGCATAAAGCATTCTTGATCCAGCAGATCTGACTATGGAAGAAACTTCCAGAGATCAGCTGAATCCAGAGACAGACCATCTCTAGGAAATACCACAAAACCTTACTCTTTGAAAAGACCTGTCCACCGTAAGAAAGAAACAACACTGACGCCGCTTTCTACCTAGTAAGCCCCAACATACCAAACTCCCACTTGGTTTCTGAAGGCACATAGGGTGAAAATCATGCAGACCTTGCTCAGAAGATATACTGAAACAATATATATAAATTTTAACTTAATCATAATTACTTGAATGATTAGGAATGTCTAACGTGCCTAAAATGGGTATTAATTTTAGATAATTTCTACAGCCATTTTCTTTCTTTCCTTTCTCAGTACTGTAAGAACACACAGACCTGGAAGCAATGTCTAGAATACACACTGCTCCCTCTTTGTCACCAGTAACCAAGGTAGGGGTGCCTCTTACTAAGTTTTGCTGGAAGTCCTGCCCTGATGGGATCAGTGACAGCCCTCTGCCCTGTGTGATTTCCTAATTGTCTGGCACATTCCATTAGGTAGCTATTTCTGGGGCTTGCCACAGATCCTACTTCTTGTAACTCACCTGAATCCCATACTCCACATTGCAGCCTGTCTCCTGACTCTGACCTTGGTTTAATACTTTTTGTGTAGGATCATTGCTGACCCTGGTGCAAAACCCTGACCCAGATTCTCACTTCATACTTTCAGTTTGGTTATGGACTCTGACTCTGTAGTTTTGAGCTAGGCTGCCCTCAGACTGATCTTTGATTCTATGGCCCAGATACTGAGAAGCTGACCACATACCCACAGGCTGTCTGTGACCTGGACCTGGCAGTATCCATATACCAGTCACTGCTACAGAAGAGTGATTTACTGTTACTTTGTTACTTTCCATTTTTACAATGGCCTAAATGTAAAATTGACTGGAAAGCTGACAATACCTTCACAAGAGCAAGGAAATGCTGCCCTATTATTGTATTTTTCATCTTTTATTGGTGCCTTCATGTCTCTCATTCTATATATTTATTCCATAATAGAAAAGCATATTCTCCACTGCCATTGTTATTACATGTGGATAGATTCATTATGCCAGATCTTACATTTAATTACATATCTAATTTGTTCAGTGCCCCTCTGGCTTTTCATTTAATATGGTGGAAATTTAAAGCAGAGAATAGTATTTATGCTTGTTATACTGCATATAATTATGCCATTAAGAAAAGACATTTCTAATTTGGAGTTTTAGTTTGAAGTATTATTATTACATTTTATAGCTCTCCATTCAGAATAAATAACAATCATGCATGACACATTAAGTCATATAAGCGTGATTATGGTTATGCTTGTACTTATGGGTAGGCCAAAGAGAACATTTTCTTGTGAAGATTAATAACCCTCTATGACCAAAATGCAATGGTCAGATTCTCTCCCCTGGAATTGGCCTCTCTGTGCTGCCCAGGACGTGCAAAGGCTCTGGATACTGCTCGGTATCTGGTTACTTAAAAGGTTACCCAGTCAGTCCAACACTGGCATAGCTGATTCCTATGCCATCCTGCCTTCCTGGCCCTAAGGAGAATCCCTCCAGCAATTTTCAGCTAGCTGACAAGCCCTAGTCTGTTGTATCTTTTAGCAGAGCTAGGACTGGAGCTGCACAGGGAAGAGCAATCAGACTGCTGTAACTACAGGCAGTCCCCGGGTTACGTACAAGATAGGGACTGTAGGTTTGTTCTTAAGTTGAATCTGTATGTAAGTCGGAACTGGCGTCCAGATTCAACTTAAGAACCCCAGGCATCCCCAAGTCAGCTGCTGCTGAAACTGATCAGCGGCTGATTCCAGGAAGCCCGGGGCAG